GCGTCCACCCTGGGTATCCCCAGGTCTAGAGGGAGCAATGATCTGGAGAAGTCCAGGAAGGTGCATGTCTTAGTTTCTTAGTGCTGCTATAACAGAAACACCACAGGTGGATGCTTATAAAGAACAGAAGTTTATTTTCTCACAGTTTATGAGGCTGTTGTTGTTGTTGTGTGCTGTCAAGTCAATGTGATTCATAGCGACCCTATAGGGCTATAGTTCTATAGAGTAGAACTGTCCCATTGGGTTTCCATTGTTATGGACAGGATGAAATGAAGAAATATGGGTCATGTGCTTGTAGATTTCTGGTTCCAGGTTTAAAAAGAAGCTCTGGTGGTACAGTGCCTAAGGGATTTGACTACTAACCAGATGTTTGGCGGTTCAAACCACTAACTGCTCCATGGAAGAAAGATGAGGCAATCTACTTTATAGTAAAGATTTATCACCTTGGAAATGCAATGGGGGTTGCTATCGGTTGCAATTGACTCAATGGTAATAGGTTGATTTTTTTGTTTTTTTAATTGCTATGGAAGCAGACTGGCACATCATTCTCCTGCAGAGTGGCTAGTGCATTTGAACTGTTGGCCTTTAAGTTAGCAGCTGAGCACTTTAACTACTGTGCCACCAGAATTCACTGTTTAGGGGAGTAGAAGTCCAAATTCAGGGGAAGGCTCTCTTTCTGTGGTCTCTGGGGGAAGGTCTCTTGCAGTTTCTGTAGGTCCAGCATTCCTTGACTCCTTGCCAATCTCCACGTGGCATGTATCTGCCCCTCTGTTTGTGTTTGCTTGTTTCTTTTTCTGTGTCTAATCTGTTCTTGTTTAATGTCAAAAAATGGTTAGAGTTAAGACACATCCTACACGGATATGGCCTCATTAACATAGCAAAAAAACCCTATTCCCAAATAAGAGTACCTCCAGAGTAAAGGGGTTAGGATTTCAGTGCATATTTTGGGGGACATAATTCACTCCATAGTAGTGCAGGTGCCCCAAGGCCTGCTTTCTTCCTCTTTTTGCACCCACAGATGCTCTAACTAAAATTTTTCTTGAATTTGAACAATTCAAATTGGGACTGTTTGCAAGTGCACCATCTGGATTACACCATCTGGATTGCACACTCTCGAGTCAGGGATTTATTCCCCCTCCCTCTTGTTTTAATGCCTTCCCCAAGCAACAGCACACAGGCTTCAGGCAACCCATTCATTCTAAGGAGCACTTGTCAAAGGGGAGTGGCCCTGCAGATGGGCTGATCACAAATCAAGGGACATCCCAAGGTGATAACATGGTGTCCCCCAGGAAGCACCAAGCTAAGGCTGAGGACAAGAAAAAATAGGAGGGAGCACAGGGAGCATGTGCAGAGTTAGACTGGGATAGGATCATCCTAGCATCAGCCATTAACCAAGCCTTGCTGCCCACCAGAGACCTGCAAAACCAAACTAAAACTCCACTGCCATTGAGTAAATTCCAACTCATAGCAACCCCCCTTGGGTTTCCAAGGCTGTAATTCTTTATGGAAGTAGATTGCCTCATCTTCCTCCCATGGAGCATCTGGTAGGTTTGAACCACTGACCTTCTGGTTAGCAGCCAAATGCCTTCCCCACTACGCCACCAGAGCTCCTTTTTGAACCTGGAACCAGGAACCTATGAGCAGATGACATATATTTCTTCATTTAATCCTGTGAGGCAGGTACTTCCATCCCATCAGACAGAGGAAGAAACTCAAGCTCAGAGGGGTCATCTGCTCACAGTCAGAAAAAGCCAGGTCTTGAAATGGAATATGTTTTACTCCTGAACTTTAAACAACAGACCAAGAATTGACATGGGGCCTAGCCTGCCTGGGCTGAGGCAGGATCCACCAACTTCTCGTGGTGTAACCTTGGGGCAAGCTGCTGAACCTCTCTGGGCTTTGTTTCCTCATCTGACAAATAACAATCGTAATAGCTTTTAACTGACTAGGGTTGTTGTGGAGATTAAATGTTTCACACGTAAAATGTTAAGGCAAAAGGTCCTTCTAGCACATGAGAAGCCCCAGTAAATATCGTTCACTGTTATTCTTACTGCAACTAGGACTTCCTCTATAATGTCTTCTTAGAGGAGGGGAAGGGGAGACAACAGAGACAAGACAAAATCAAACCAATGCCCTGCAGGTACAACAGTACAGTAGGGGTGCATCAGGTCTTTTTAGAAGATGGAGCCCAGTGTCTCCAAAGCTGCCTCTGCTGCCAATGGGAGGCCTCAAGACCCTCCACCTCTAGGACCCAGAGGATGTCCTCAGGGTCTTGGGGAAAAAGGGGCTCTCTCCTTCCTTGGAAATAGGGAAGGAATGGTGACTCCAGCTGGACTCTGAGCATGTGTGTGTTTATATGCACGTGTGCACATGCACATGCACATGTGTGTGTTGGCAGAGGTGGAGAGGCAAGCAGGGTCCTGATTTCAGGTCCATTAGCACAAGGTTGTGTGTGTCTAACAAGGTAGTCTCCCCACAGCAGTGCTGCAGGCTGGACAGGGACCAAAACCTCCTGGTTTGATTGGATGGGGCAGGGGAGGTGGCAGAAGCAGCTCCAGTTCCCAGCTCCAGACATGTGAAGAATATCCCTAATGTGGGGCCCTGAAGGTCGTTTTAGATAGGTAGGCCTGCCAGAGCTGCTCCACACAGGAACACCCACGGAAACAGAGTGACCAACTCCAGGGCTGATGGCCCAGTAATCACCAGAGCAGGGCCCCTGTGGTAGTTCATTTTGTATGTCAACTTGGCTGGGCCTGGTTGAGTGGCTGGGGAGCTGGATGTAGTATTCCCCATGATGAGATTGGTAATCAACTCCATGGTGGAATCTACCACAAGCAGCTGAGTAGCTGCTTTGAGTATGTGGTCTGCTTCCCATATATAAGAAGCAGCTTTGGGAATGGTCTCTAGTTTATGGCATGCTTGGACCCTGCATGTAGCAGTGTCGTTGTTCAGCAGCCTGCCATGCTCTGCTGACCTTGGGACTTGTAATGGACTTAAATTAATGGCCTGCCATGTGGTTTGGTAACATCAGAACTGTGCCTTTTTACTTGTCAACCTTGGGTTTGTCCACCTTAGCAGCCAGCAGCTATCTGAGTGAAGAAATGCCTCTAGCTCCAGTGGTCTGGGAGCAGGAGTCAGAGTTGGACCCCAAGGTTGAGGGGCTTTCAACCAGCCCCTAAAGCCTGGCACTTTGAACTCAGACTTCAAGCCTCCCAAACTATAAGACAATAAAGTCGTGTTTGTTCAAGCCATCCTATTTGTGGCACATTCTTGTCAGAGTGACTCTAGGTAACCAGAACAGCCCCTCAGAGCCAGAGAGTACCCTGCACAGAAGAGGTGAAGAGGGTCACTCAGTGAGAATTTACCACACATAGCCTGGCCTTTTGAGAGCTCAGCTTCCCACTCAGAGAGCTCAGGGGGTCTCCCTTACACCCAGAGGCCTCCACCCTACCCTGAAGTCCAGGAATTAGCAAACCCAGCGCTGGGGAGAAGGCAATGAGGTTTAAGTTCTCCATGGATGTGAGCTCAGGCCAAGAATGAATCATGTCATTATGGCAGGATTAGAAGAAAACTGCTGTTAGAAATGCCGTGTACACACATGCATTTAATAAGGTCAGGAGCAGCACGCAGCAGGCAGGCTGGTGGCATAGGCCACAGAGCCATGTTGTGGCATCCTCTTCCCCAGCAGCAGAGGCTCCAGGAAACACAAATAGGGCTGCCAGGGCCCCACAGTAGGAGGCAGATGTGTCTCCTTCCATGGCACCTGCTACTTGTCCCACTTAGCACTCCCCAGGGCCTCCTGCTTATAGTTGTTCTCAAGTCTTGCCTCGCCATGTCATCTTCATTGTTAGCTGCCATCAAGTCACCCTAACTCATGGGAACTCTATTGCACAGTGGAACAAATGCTGCCTGACTTGCTCCAACCCCGTGGTTGGGTACAGATCGCACCATTGCAACCCATAGAGTTTTCATTAACTTATTTTTAGAAAAACATTGCCAGCTCTTTCTTCTGAGTCTGTCTGTCAGCCTGGAAACTCCTCTAAAACCTTTTTAGTATCATAGCAACACACAAGCCTCCACTGACAGACAGGTGTTGATTGCTCAGGAGGTGTCTTGACCGGGAATCAAACCCTGGTCTCCTGCACAGAAGGCAAGAATTCTAACACTGAACCACCGCTGCCCTCAAGCCCACCATGTACTACTGCCCCTCCCAAAAAAAATCATTCTCCCACATCCTTATGCCCTCCCTGATCAATCCTGCACTTAGAAGCGAATGGGGCAATCTGATGTACTTTACAAAGGTACTAATCTGTTACATATCTGTGGTCCTCCCTGTAACATACTGTCCAGGGGACACATACAAATAAGATACCTGGCAAGCTGCTGGGAAATGAGGGCAGTGGAGGAAGGTGGTGCTGGGCCAGCAAGGAAGCTACCTTTGATAAGGACACACTGAGTAACTGTTGCCTGCTGGGGACCCTGCTCATAGGGCCAAGCAGGAGAGGTTAGGGACAAGCAGTCTTCCCAGCTTTCCTTGTCCCCATGGCCCCTCCTCAAAAGCTGGCCCTGGACTCCCCTTGCAGCCTCCAGGAAGTCCACCCTCCCCAACACTCTGGGGCCTTCAGTCAGCTCCCAGCTATCATCCTGGGTTATTTAGTTTCTGACATGCTCAAGTGGGTGTATGCTTCAATCCCACTAGGAAGATGTCTTAGATCATCGCACACCTCCTAGTATATCTGGGGACACCACAAAGACAGCAGCACAGAGTATGTGTAGTATATGTATATATACAAGTATATGTAGAATGAAAGTGCCTGCTCTCCACCCATCAACTTTCCCTGACTCCATGGCTTCATTCATCCTCTCACCAACACTGGCTAAGCCCCCACTATGCACCAAACACTGCTCTAGGCTCTGAGGAGGCAGCAATGAACAGGATAAGCCCCTGGCCCAGGGAGTTTACCTCCATGTGTACTTCCCAGAGGAAGGAGGATACTTACAGCTCTGTAGACCTGGACAGGATGGCAGACAGGGTGAGCAGGATGCATCCATAAGGTCCTGCCTCAAACTGTGGGAGAGAGAAAGGAATGAGCACCCAGCAAATCTCATCTTCTGCTCAGCCCTGACTCCTCTGTGGGCCCCCCAGGGAATAGCCTGGCCCTGGAGGTTGCTTCATAGAACTAGGTACGGCAAGGCTCTAGGCAGACCCCTGGCAAGATGGGGAGCCACCAGCTTGAGTAGCAGTGGGGGCAGAGTGCAGGTGACACAGTAGGCCACATAGCACATCCAAACCCACTGAGTCATCCAAGCTATTGATACTGCTGTGGTAGCAGCCTCTGTTATTTTAAAGTGCAAGTGTTTGAAACACACATGATCACATCTAGTCCTTTCAACCAACTTATGAGATAAGTACCACTATTATTACTGCCCCCTGTCACATAAGGAAACTGAGGCTCAGACACCAAGTGACTTGTCCAAGGTCACACAGCTTGTCATCAACATGGCTGGGCTTCCAAGGGGGTCCGTCTGATTCTAAACCCCTTACCCTGAAAAATTGGGCTATGCTGAGAGCAGCAGAGAGCAGGTTTGGACCAGAGTTGGGATCTGGCTTAGTCAAGCAAGATGAACCATGTAAATGCAGGAACAGATCTTATCTTTTTAAAAATGTTTGATATTTCATCCATCATGGATTTCTTTATGTTAATTTTGATTTTTTTTTTTTTTAATAGTGCATTGAAATATCCCCTTAAATTTTGCACCTGAGGTGAACACCTACCTCACTTGCCTCTCCATAGCTCTATCCCTGGTTTGAAGCACAGATTCTGGACCCAGCCTGGTTGAAATCCTGGCTCTGCCACTCCTAGCTAGGTGATCAGGACACTTTTCTTAACTTCTCAGTCTTCTCATTGTAAAACAAGAATCATAACAGCATCTACCCTCATCAGGTTGTTGCAAAGACTAAGTGAGTTGATCCTTGTAAAGCACTTAGAACAGGGCTTGGAACCTGCATGCTGGCTCCCCAGTGCCCATCAGTCCAGTAAGCCCACATGCCACAGCCTACCAGGATGGACCATGTCACTTTTGCTTCCCAGAGAAATGCCTTCCCCTAGCTGCAAGTCAGGAGCTCTGGTAGCATAGTGCCTAAGGCACTTGACTGCTAACCAGAAGGCTGGCGGTTCAAACCCACCAGCCACTCCTCGAAAGGAAGGTTGGGCATTCCTACTTCCATAGTGATACTGCCTTGGAAACCCAAGGAGGGGTCGCTATGAGTCGGGGCCGACTCGATG